CTGTTCCTCACTGTCTGGTTGGGTTTTTCTTAATCAATACCTATTTGCTCCTGGGTGGCTAATCTCTTGTCTAGTCTGGAATGAGATTCCTCATCCCAGTCAACATCTCCATCAGAATTCCTCTGCTCATCTTCCTCGTGTTTCCTTTACTCAAGACTCTTTAATATAAATGCATTCTTGGCCAGTGTTGAAAAGTAAGAAGAATAAGGGAGGCCAGGGTAACAGAATGAGTCCTCTTGTCCATCAGGGTAAGTGGGAGTTTATATTTTCTTAGATTCATTTTTTTCTCCCTAAAGCAGATCTGCCCAGTGACACATCGCTTCATTTGCTTCTGATCTTGTTCCTAAAACAGGGCAGTGGAACTGATAGAGCCTGGTCCTTTTGCCCTCCATGGCTGATTCTACTATAATCATGACAATTGTGCATGGCTTTGCAAGGACACTCACAAAGGCTGCAATGAATCCTGAGCTCTGCTTAAGTAATGCTATGAGCTGGTGTACCCAGAGGATTGGCACATCTCTAACAAGTGCAAAGACACTGTATGTTTGTGCAACCCCATGTTTGCTCATCAATAGGTAATGTGCATGCACTTTCAGAGGAAAAAGTTCACCTTTTCTTTAAAATTTCTTGGATGAAATCTGTAGGGCAATTTTAAGAAGGCTATACTTTAGAGCTGTGTGTAGGAGGAACACGCACACATCATTACACTTAGCAGTATTCATTCATCACTCCTACTCTGTATTTCCAACTCTTCTCCAAGACAGCAATGATTTTCAGTCACTTAAAATACTTACATTTTATACTATGCTTACTATAACTGACTAACATGTAATCAACTCTCAGGAAAAATATCTAAAGGCAGATAAATTCAATGTTAACCTTGCATTTTTTTTACAAATCTATATACATATCATGGCTAAAGACCATTTATCAGCAAATGTCCACAATGGTAAATAACAATTAAGCAATTGAAGAACTGTGCTTTCATTCATGCTTCTGTAATTCAAATTCTTTACTTAATGTTAATTTCAGTTCCATAGTAAGAGAAAGCAGCTGTTCACATCTCCCCAGTATACTACAATACCATTGTTTTGCTATCATCTATGTCTCACTCTCAGAGGGAAAATGGATTTATTATAAAGTCATGTTGATGCATGAGAAGCCAAACTTCCTTGGATGTTGTTTAGGAAAGATTATCATTTTCCATTATGCAGCACAGTGATCACACAGAGGATACAGCACAACTCCAAGTCCTCATGGACCAAGGGTTGGAAAGCATAGCTTACATGTAAAAGAAACTATCAAAATAGTCACTCTCTAAAATCTCCAAATACTTCGGTGTCTCCTTCAACAAAGCACAGCAAACATGACTCAATTTTTCCTTAATGACATTGGACATTTAAAAGAAACAACAGATTTGAAATTAGGAGGACTGAGTTCCACTAACTGGATGAAAATGCACAAGGAATGCCTTTGATTTATGGGTGAGCAGCACAATTCACAATAGCTAGACTGTGGAACCAACCTAGATGCCTTTCAATAGATGAATGGATTAAAAAAAGTGACATTTATACACAATGGAATATTACTCAGCACTAAAAAATAACAAAATCATGGCATTTGCCGGGAAATGGATGGCATTAGAGCAGATTATGCTAAGTGATGTTAGCCAATCCCTAAAAAACAAATGCCAAATGTCTTCTTTGATATAAGGGAGGCAACTCAAAACAGAGCAGGGAGGAAGAGCATGAGAAGAAGTTTACCATCAAACAGGGATGAGAGGTGGGAGGGAGAAGGGGAATTGCACGGAAGATGGAAGGAGACCCTCATTGTTACACAAAATTACATATAAGATGGCGTGAGAGGGAAGAAAAAAAGAGAGAGAAATGTATCACAGTAGATTGGGTAGAGAGAGGTGATGGGAGGGAAGGGGAGGGGAGGGGAGGGGGGATAGGAAGGGCAGCAGAATACAACAGACATTAGTATTGCTGTATGTATAAACGTGACTGTATAACCAATGTTATCCTGCAATCTGAACACGTAGAAAAATAAGAATTCATACCTCATTTGAATCAAATGTATGTCAAGATCATTGTATTGTCTTGAGCAACTAATAAAAAAAATGGGTAAAAAAAAAAAAAAGAAAATGCACAGGGAGAATTATCTTAATCAATTCACTGAACTTCCCTAGGTGTCCGGAGTGGTGAATGGATTATGGTCCTTGAACTGCCTGGAGATAGAGGTGATATCTCTCTTGAGAATTTCTCAGTGCAAAGGCGCTGATTGAAGATTGCCCAGTTGCTATGGTGACACTCTGTTCAAAAGGGAGTTCTGTGCCAGCCACAGAATTTATCAGTTCTTAACTTCAGGTTCAAATGCCCTGCCAGGGAGTAGAGTTATGTGCATAGCTGATAATTATATCTGGGCTGCAAAAAAGTTTACCCTTCACTCTGAGTGCTTTGAAAAAACTTTCTCACAATAAATCCTTTTGATGTTTAAACCTATGTAATAAATGTGCCGAGCTTGCTCATGGTCAGTCTTCCTTCATCACAGGTAGCTGAACCACCAAGTCCCGGCCTTTTTTCTATTTGTGTGTTTGTCTTTTCTCCATCTCCTCATCCATGGCTCCAGTTAGTCCTAAATAAACTGTCATGAAGGTTGCAAAACCTGAGCTTTTTTTGTCTTTCAAATGGGATCACCATATTCCTCAGGACTGTTTCAAAAATTAAGCTGAGTAGCACCCACAAAGTGCATTGTGCTCTGGCTGTTTCAGAAAGTGTCCCATGAGATGTCAGCCCTCCTCCTGCCCTGTCTGGACACAAGCTGAATAGCTGGGTACTGTGGTGTGCTGTAGGCTTGGCACCACTCAGTGAATACACTCAGAAATGAGACTCTGGTCTCTGGAAAGAATAAAGGCAACTTTGGATTTGGCACTAGGTCTTGCTTTTCTTTTTTCTTTTTCTTTTTTTTCTCCTAAAGGCACAATACTTGTCACCCATGTATTTTCTTCCTATTTGGCTTTCCATTCCATTCAAAGTGAAATTTGAGTGTATAAGGCAAAAGACTGCTGGGGAATGGGATATGGCCGCCCTTCAAACTTCTCTCCTTTTCCTAAATAAATTTCTTGCCCTTTAGAAAATCGGTTCCCTTTCTGCTATCTTCAGTTCACATTTATGGCACAGGCTCTGTATGTGTGTACATATATAGGTACATATACACACATGCCTGTCCCTTCTGAAGGAAACCACAAAGCAATCAAGGCAAACAATAAGGCAGTAAATCTATCTGCATGTGTATTTTAACCTAAACATACTCACCGCCGCAATCATGACCCAGAGTAACTTCACCTTCCAAAAGTTCACTCATTCTACCCTTCATAGTCAAACTCCACTCCCATCCCAACCCCTCTTCTCTGACTAGTATGCTTTTTTTTCCCACATTTTTTGTGCACTTAGGCTTACTACTAATTTAAACTTACTTTACAATCTATAATCTCTAAGCTTAAACCATTTAGTTGTTAATGCAGCTAAGCAAGGAAGCTACTTATTTGAATGGTTTTATCAAAAACCAATATTTCTATTTCATTTTCACTGCCTACCAGTGGAATATGAGCTATGAGTCATTAAGCTTAGTTGAGACACAGGCAGACGCAGGTCTAACTGCAATTCAGGTGTTAAAAAAGAAATATACACAATAAATGATGTGAGACCTGACATATTTCTCGATATCTGTAAACCAAAGAGCATAGATACATTATTTACTCACCACTAGAAAAATGTCTGGCAACTCTATGGAAAATGACTGCCTTCCTTAATTTCTTAAAGCATATGATTTTGGCTGGCTGACTCTGAATCAGTGATCTATCTCCCTTCTCTTCCTCTTTGTAAATCCTACTTGATACTTGATTTCTTTTTACCTTCTATTATTTTTATTCCACATGCCACAGTTGCTTAAATTTTTCTATAACACATACCTTGAGTTTTATGAACTCCAGAAAGGCATCTGGACAGTATCATACATATTAATAAGTCTCTAAAGAAAATTCAGGGGAAAGGTGAACTCTCACACATATTAAGACCCAAATAGCAACTTCTCTCTGAAATTTTTCTGATGTCCCAAGTGACCATGTACTCCTTTCCCCCACTATGTTTTGCGTTCTGCTTCTCCCATAACTCCCAACTCAGGGAGGAGATACAATTATGTATTTGCCTCTCTCTCCCCCCCCAAGATATGAGCCTGTCAAAAGAAGAGGTCCCTTTTTTAGCACTAGAAGACATTGAACCCAAGTTGGATGAAAAGAAATTAAAGCATAACAGTTTATAAAGTAAGATAAGCATGGAACCTGTACCTGGATTGATTTATTTAACTAGTCCTCAAGTGTAAATGGATGTCCTTGCAATCCTCTGGAGATCCCTGAAAATCCTATAACTATTTTAGTGATGAACAAATTAGGATTTGTAACTATCATGTTCTAACCAAAATGCCTTAAACCTTGACTCTTGAGAGTAGAAGAGGGGATGCCAAGGTGCTGGACACAGCATCTGAGACTTTAAAATAGTTTTGTTTTGTTTTTTTCTTTTGCAGTGCTGGGGATCAAACACAGGGCCTGGTGCATGGCAGGCTAACATTCTACCACTGACTCCAGCACTATTTTCTTCTTGTTAAGACAATACAGACACGATTAAGTCACTGAGCTTGAATGCTAATCCATGCTATAAAGCATATTCTTTTCCTTATGATAGTCTTTTAAGATAGTTTAAAAATTATTAACAGTGAGCATGGAGTAAAGTTAAAATATATTTTCCTTGTTTCGTATTAAAACGCAAATTACTCTACTTACCTTTACATCACTTCAATGATAAAATTAAGCAGATAATGAGACATTTTAATATCAAAATGAGTAACAAGAAATATAACTAAATCTCATACCTCCAGGATAATCTCCTCTGGTTAGGTGGAGTTAAAATGTAAAGCCTCTTGGGTCACATTTGGTGTCATACCTGTCCTGTGTATGCAAACTCCAGAGCCTGTTTCAAACCAAGGCTGGTCACACCGTGTAAATTCACCTCGTCAGCTCCACTTTCCACCATGCAAAGACTGAACATTGCCTGAGGTGAGAAAGAAAGAGAGAACAATTCTGGTACATAAAAAGCAAGGAGACAAGACAATGTCTTCAAGAGACTAGAAAAATGTTTTGCAAGTTAAAGATAGGTTCTGATTTCAGACTGATTTCTATACAGCTTCATTCATACAAGCTACTGCAACTCATTATGATATCTAAGAGTTACGGTAACAACGCACATGGTACTGCATTCCTCACATGCTCCCTCTCATCAGAGATGACTCTATTTGGATTCACTGAACTCATTCTCTCCACCCTAGGATCTGCAGCTACCAACCAATGTGCAGTAATCCTGAACATTCAGGCCAACTGGACATGAAAAGTCACACTTTCATCTCCTGTCTTTTGCATTTATGATCTGACAATCCCACTTATGGTATATGTATCATTTAGCCTTATCCATTTTTTCTCTTTTTGCAGTTTCAGTTACCAAGGATTAACCATAATTGGATAATATTAAATGGAAAATTCCAGAAATAAATAATGCATATATTTAAATTTTTGTGCCATTCTGAATAGCATAATGAAATCTTGTACTATTCTACTCTGTCCCACACAGGACACAAATCATTCCTTTGTCTAGTATCTACATGTACATATACTATGCATGCATTAGTCTCTTAGGAACCATTTTAGTTATCAAATTCACTGAAAGGGTATTAGAGTACTTGTGTTCAAGCAGCCCTTCTGTATTAACCTACCACTATGTCACAATGCCTATGCCACTCACTTCACTCTATCTCATCCCATAGGCATTGTGTCACCTTACGTCATCACAAATGATCAGTGCACAGTAAGATATGCTGAGAGAGAGAACACATTCACATTACTTTTTATTATGATATATTGCTATAATTGTTCTGTTTTATTATTATTTATTGTTTTTATCTTTTATTGTGCCTAATTTATAAATTAAACTTTATCATAGTTATATATAAACAGTAAAAAATAGAGTATATGTAGAATTTGGTCCTACCTGTGGATTCAGGTATCTACTAGAGTCCTGGAATATATTACCCACAGATAAGGTGGAACTAATTTATACCCAAATGAAATGAAATCAGTATCCTAAACACATATCTGTATACCCAAGTCCATTGCAGCATTATTAATTATAGCTAAGGTGTGAAAACAACCTAAGTATTCATCAGACAAGTGATTAAAGAGAATGCATATAAAGAGAATACATACATGCTCATATGCACATAAAGAGAAATCCTTAAAAAAGAAGGAAATAGGAAATTACGCCATTTGCAACAACATGGGTGAAACTCAAGGACATTATATTAGTAAAATAAGCCAGACACAGAAAGACAAGTACACATATATGGAATCTATAATAGTCAAACTCAGGTGCAGAGGGTAGAATAGGGCTTACCATAGGCTAAGTGGAAGAGGAAATGGGGAATGTCGCTCAAAAGGAGTAAAGTGCCTGTTAATGCAAGATAAATAAGTTCTGGAGATCTAATGTACAGCAATGTCTTTATAGTTAACAATACTGCACTATATACTTAAAATTTGTGAAAAGTATACATTTTTCCACTACAAAAGAGAAGGAGGGAGAAATAAAAGTTTAATTATATGAGATAATGATTATGTTATTTAGCTTAATGTGATTATTTCACAATGTATACATATATGAAAACCCTGAGTTGCAAACTTGAAATATACGTGACATATATATTTATATATAAATATACACACACACACAATTTTTATTTGTTGATTATATGTGAGTAAAGCTGAAAAAAATCTTGGATTTGAAGTCACAGAATCCTCATTTGTCATGGGTACAATAGCAGTATAGTGCATGATATGTCAAGTTCTTAGTTAATATATGTGTTTAGTAACATTGAAATGAAATGAAGTTTCTTTTATGTATTCCCTAGTTTAAGTAATTGATGCATTAGGAAAATATTAGAAATCAAATGTGGTTATAGATAAAAAATGCTAATAAGAAATCGACTTTAGAATTTAAGAGATTCTGCTTTTGCATTTCTAGAAGAAATTCCAAAATGAACAAGCACAGATCACAACTTAAGAAAAATCTTCCAAATTGTTTAATTCTGAATTTGCTTCTAGACTTTTTATAACCATTTCAAAGGAAATTTCAGTCATTTTTAATGTCTGCTTTTTATTATATGGATGGCTAAGTTTTCAGTATTCACCACACTAATTTACTTTTTTTTCAGATCTTCAAATTTGTAATTGCACTGAATGCAGAGGCCAGATGCTCTCCATCCATCCATATGCAGAGCTGGACAGAAATGGCTCAGACTGCCCAAGAATTACCAGAGTTAATGAAATGGAAAAAATCCCTGAGATCAAAGGTTAAAAAATGGAACAGACTACCAAGTGAGTTTTTAGGATTTCCTAGTATCTTTCAAAAGTAATCAGAGCAATACTGGCATAGAATACTGATCTTCAGAGGCTTATGATATTGATGTAACCAGAGAAATACTGGCAAAGATTATTGATGATCAGAGGCATGTGAACTATGGAACTTGAAGCCTGGCTTAGTAAAGTTGAACAGAAGACTCAATTCCTTAAATAAGGTACAAGTATATTTGCACATGTTTATATAAGCAAGTGGGTAATTGTGTTCTATCAATATAATCAAACAATTTTTTTCTATAATTGTTGTATTATAGGGTATGATTGTGGGCAGGCAAAGAGACTATTATTTTATCCCATTTACATAAATTATTATTTGGATCATTGCAATGAACATACTTTATTTGTGTATTTCAAAACAACTGCTTTTTAAAAGCTTTTTTCATTTTTAATATTCAGAACTGTGTAAGAAGACACATCTGATTCAAATCCTGGTTTTAAAATCTATTTGTCACTGTGGACAATTTACCTTGAACATGTGACCTCTGGCTGATTTGTTAATTTCTCTGAACCTTGGCTCTCTTATTTGTGAAATGGAGAGAATTACTAACTTCACAAGTTTGTCTTAAGGTTTAGATACATATCTCCCTTTGATCTATTTAAAATGAGAGCTGAGAATAAACACCCTCCATCCAACCACAACCCAAATTCATGTCTTTCAGATATTTTCCCAATGACAGTCCCACTTAAAACTCCCATCCCTAGCTGCAGGACTTTACTTTGCTGCATACTCACCCCAACCCTTACTTTTTATGATTGTTATGATTGTTATGACCACAATTGAACAAACTATTTACCTTCTTTATCACACACATGCAGAAGTAACCCAGTCTATCGGGTGGTATTAGACATTTTTTTTTTTGTCACTGTGACCATACCCTTACCTTATGAAATTACTCTACCCCAAAAATTGTCACCACCATTTCTATAAAAACAGAACTTCCATTTTAATATCACATCAGAAATTTAGTACTACAAATTTAAAGCTTATAATTTTTAAAAATTAGATAATTAGTTCATTTAGAGATAAAATATGTAATTATTAAATCAAGTCAATGTCTTGGGTTGAATGCATGTACAAGGCACCTCAATTAGGAACACTTTATTGGATAAAGAAGAACCTGGTCATTTGGCACAGTGAAACACCAAGTTGCCTAGGCTACCCAGGCTTGAGAAACAATGTCTAGAGGACTACTAGCGCCCACAGGGGAGGACAAGGACAAAACCTCCTTTGATAGAAAAAGCAGTGGTAACACCAATAGTGCTATATTTAAGCATCAAATTTCTTGAAAAGGTAAACTAACAGTTCCATGAAGGCAAATACTACATCTTATTTACTTGCTGTTATGTTCCAAACCTTAGCATTACATGCATGCTATAAATACAGGTGAGAGTGAATGAGCAAGGTAACATCCTCTTCAAAAACTCATCCACAGATGATGGCCTGCTGTTCTACAGAGTCATAAACAAAAATAATTAGTTCTTTATAGAAAAGCATTTCTGCATGTAGCATATTTAGATGTTGGAATATAAAAACCATAGTTAAATAGAGCATCTACCATAAGAAAATACTTCAGAAACAAGTGAGTTCAAAGCTTAGACATTTAGGAAATTAAAAAAGAGAAGAAGAAGAACATATGGCTATGTCTTCTATCAAGCCACAACATTCTGCCAAAGACTAGGATAAGGTTCTGCTTAGAAAAATGAAAGCTTAGCACAGACTCCTCTAGGTTCACACTGTTTTGTCTTTGGGAGAACCTTGGCCAGACTGAGATTTACAGTCATCACAGCTTACTCTTGGCTGATAATGTGCTGCCACCACCACAAATCTTTCTCATTGAAAATCCAATTTTTGAGAATACAATCCACTTTAAATGCTGACCAGAGACTTATGATGTTATTTCTCCTTAATTTCACAAAGAAATGACATAAAAGGATTCCTAAAATCACAGAACATGAATTAAGTTTTCTTGGGTTATGCTAGTTGTCAGGTAGTCACAAAATGAGCTACAACCCCATTTAAGTTGGTACATTAGGCCACAAAACTGACCAATTGAGATTCTATTACCTCATCAATGATAAATAAAATGGCAGCTGAAAGATATTTTAGGTACTCAAAGTTGCTGAAATGTTTTTTTACCTGGTAAGTTATATATAGCTTTGGTGTTAACACTGTATGTAGGCAAGATGTTCTGTGAATTCCATTTTATCAGGAATACAAACAACATTAGAGATAAATTACCTGGATTGTTTTGGGAGCATATTCCATTCTTATTGATTGATTGATTGATTGATTGATGCTGGGGATAACCCAGGGTCTCATGCATGCTAGGCAAGAGCTCTACCACTGAGCCCAAACCTTATTTTTTATGATTGTTAGAGAGTTAAATGAAAGTAAACAGACATACTTAAGGAAGTCATTGAAAAGAGCAATTTGCAATGACTTCAGCGGATCCATCCTTCCATGCTCAGTGTTATATAATTAGTGATGTTTACAATGGGCACCAAGGCATGACAGATTTGCACTAACTTCCAAATCAACAAACATTACGTTTTGCTCAATTTGGTGTTAATGGTGATTGTAGTTTATTG